GAAAATGAGAACTTGGTCACAAAAGGAGATTTGTACACCAGTGTTCATAACAACGTTATTCAACATAGCAATAACATGGAAACCGCCCAAATGTCCAACCATAAACGAATAGATTGAGAAATTATGGTACATTCACACAATGGAATACTATGCTGCACACAGGAGCAATGATTCTGTAAATTATTACCGAACTTGGGAGGAACTGGAGAGCATTGTGCTGCGTGAACTAACTCAGTCCCACAAGGATAAATACTGTATAAAACCACTGTTGTTGAATAAGGATCCAAGAGGGGTGGGAGAAGTTGGAAGTAGAGGGATGAGGATGTGCAGGGGGAGGGGGAGATAAGTCATGGAGTTGTACAGTTTTGGGGTGGGAGAATGAGAGAAATTGAAAGAATTTGTTCTTGAAAACAGTATTAGAATTTTGTTAATAAACTGGTAGAAAATTAAAAATTTTTAAAATTGGAAAAATTTTTTTCTGGAAAAAGTTTTTTTTTGCTTGAAAGTTTACAAAATATATTGGTTTTCCATTCACTGCATGATTCAAAATCAGGAAATGAGTGTGTCAGGGATGTGTCCTGTCTCCATACCTTTATAATCTATATGTGGAACAGATCATTGGGGAGGCTGGGCTTTATGAGGAGGAATGTGGCATCAGGATTGGAGGAAGACCATCAACAGTCTGCATTATTCAGATGACATATCCTTGCTTGCTAAACTGAGGAAGATCTGAAGCACTTGCTGCAGAAGGTCAAAGACTTTAGTCTTAAATATGGACTGAAGTTCAATATCAAGAACAACAAAGATTTTCACCACTGGTCCAGTTGACAGCATCATGATAAATGGAGAAGAGATGTTAACAATTATAGCTTGCTCAGTTCCACAATCAACACTCTTGGCACCAGCAGTCAGGAAATCAAAAGATAAATTGCACTGGGAAAAATCTGCTGCCAGGGACCTTTCCAGATTACTGAGAAGAAACATTTGTCAGTCTAGAGACTAAGATGTGCTTGCTCCAGGCTGTAGTCTTCACAATTACTTCCTATGCATCAGAGAGCTGGACAGTGACTAAGGATGACAGAAGAAGAATCGATGCCTTTGAATTGTGGTGCTAGAGAAGAGTCTTGGAGAGGGTGAAACCAAGTTTCTCTGTGGAGGCTAGGATTTTGAAGCTCTGTCTCACATCCTTTGGGCATGTGGCCAGGAGGAGACCTATCCTTGGAGAAGGACATCATGCTTTGGAAGGTGGAGGGACAGCACAGGAGAAGAAGACCCCCAGATGAGATAGATTGATACAATAACTGGAGCAGTGGGTGTAGGTGTGTCAAGGTCAATGAGACTTGCTTAGGCTATAGCAGACTTCTGATCTATTGTATTTAGGGTCACCATGAGTCACAGGCAACTCGATGGCACATAACAGCAATAACATTCATTCATGGACTTTTTGTATTAGATTAACAAAAGCACTATTGTAAATAGAACTCTTGGTTAAATATTGCCAGAAGTTTTACAGAGACAAGCAAAAGATTTTATTGAGAGGCCCATAAATTGTCTGGAGAAGTTCAAGCTGATGTTGACTTTGGCAGCTTGCCAGACAGAAAATTGTACAAGAAATAAAATCTTGTATTTCTTTATTAAACTATTTATTGAGTGGGAATCAAGGAAGTGGAGAGAGATTTAAAAAATATGTTGTAACTGTTTTGAAAAAATGAACAAAGAAAATACTGAGGCAAAAATCTCGTTAGTATTTGAACTAGCTTTACATTTCTCCGCCAACTCGACAGTCTAAGAACAATCATGCATCTTTATCTGTAAGATTTTTTCTAATAACTTTTCTACTGTCCAATGAAAAAAAAAGCATTAAAATGAAGCTAGAAGAATGAATTTAGAATGAAAGCAGTAAAATGAAGTTAAAAGACTGAATTTAGTAAAATGAAGTTAAAAGGACGAATTTCTAATTTAAAAAATTATTGGGTAATGTAGTTCTAAGATTCTCTAAGTTTGTCTAAAGAAAAGTAAACTTTACTGAAGACAAAATGAACATTTCAAAGCAGCATTAAAATGTAAAAGCTTAGTTACAGAATTATTTTAGCCAAATTTTGTTTTCTGATCAGTGAGTTTTATCCCTTTTCAGAATGTAAGTCAAGGTAGAGCTGAAAGTAGAAACCAGTCTATCTCAATTCCTTGCTCTCTGAAAGTCATTTATTTACTAACTATTCAGGACCCTCGATGAGATGCATTGATTCAGTGACTGGGATAATCAGGGTAGGTATGTCAGAGACAGTGAGATTGGCACAGGATAGAGCAGGGTTTAGGGCTATTATACATAGGATCGCTATGAGTCTCAGGTGACTCGATGGCACATAACAACAATCAGGGGGGTTTTTTTTTGGTCTGTGACTATTTTCTTTGTTAGAATAAATGGATTTTCCAAATATCTGCTTTGTTAGCATTAATTCCGGATCAGACGTAATTGTACGTTCAGCCATAAGATACTTATCACTCGCTTTTTCATTACACTCAGTCAAGCCCCCTCATTGAGTTTCTGAGGTTATAAATCAGATCAGAGGAGATTCTACCCTGGGATAGTGAGAAGCAGTGTTTGGATTAGCTGCACAACTCCCTAGATTATGTCAACAGATCCCTAAGATAGTGATGTTGTTCTTGTTGTTTTATGTCATCAAATCAGAACCAATCCATAGAGGAGATTGCTTGTCTTTCTCCTATGGAGCAGCTAGTGGAGTTGAACTGCATGCCTTTGGGGTCACAGAGCAGCTTGTTACCACTAAGCCATCAGAACTACTTTAAGATACTGTTAGGTTATTTTATTGCTCTGTCTTTTAGAATTAACGTTTTCGATGACAAGAAAAAAATTGGTTTTTAGAACAACAAATTCATGAAGTATACAGTTAGCACATTAATTTGGGTTTAGATGCTCCAAAATAGCCAAATAGTCTCAGTTTCCAGAGAAAAGATACCCCCAACAGTGCTGCCCTCAACCACAACATTCATTGAAACTTTTTAAATGAAGTGGTTCCCAATGCTTGCAGTACATTCTTTTTGATATTTAAATCTATTGTGGTAGATAAATTGCCATCTATTATGGTTGCACTTGATATTACAGTAGAAAGTGCTAAACTCTATTGTGGAAAGAGGAAGAAGCATCAGAATGGTAACTGGAAAAGACCTTTCTGAACTTCATCTGTGTCACTGAAGGACATTTAAAGAGCAACTCCAAACAGAGGCTGTGCAGTGGGGGAGACGGGATTCAGACGAGGATCCTAAAGATAACTTTGCTTACTTAGTCATTAGCAAGAGGGAAATGGGCTGCCACCTCACATGATTTAAAACTCACTGGAAAGTCAGCTATGAATGAGTCTGAGTAACTAACTGTTTGGTTTGTTGACTGCTGTCAAGTCGAGATGACTCATAGAGACGCTATGAACAAAAGACCTGAAGCCTTTCTATAATTACCATCATTTCTCAAAGTTCGTAGTTTCCAGAGGCATGTTTTTAGGAAGTAGATGCCACTCCTGCTACCATCCAAATTATTTACTATCTCTTTTTTTGCCACTTGTTTCCTAAGGCAGAATTTTTGAAATTAAGATCTAGAACCACTATATTTAACTTCAAGTTAACTGGTACAAATAAGAAGTTTTCACAAATAAATAAATTGACATTCTAGAATTTTCTTTCCCCTTGGGATGAAATGAAAGTGTTGGTACTAGGATTTACTCTTTGTAACTGACTTTTATTTCATACATAAAAATTATGTTTCTTTCAAAGTCGTTCTTTATAAGATTGATTTTAGGTTTCGTTATTATAAATCCTATGAGAGTTAAAATAGTTAAAGAGCAAGTCTAAGTGAAACTAGAATAACTCAACAAGTTGCTATGTGACTTTAAGTCAGAGGTGTCTCAGCCCTGACTGTCTAGTGGGTTTTCAGAAGCTATAAATTGCACAGGAGGAGATCACCCATCTTTCTTCCTCAGAGTAGCTGGCAGATTCAACCCATTTGCTTTTGGGGTTGGTAGCACAACTGCTTACCATTAAGCAACTAGTGCCACCTTATCTTTACATAATATTAATAGAAAACAATTGTTTCTCTTGTAGAAAACTTTTAATACTAATTAATATGAGGAAACAGAGCAAGTCTGTTTTATTTTAGTCTCTGTGTGTACTTTTTGTTGTTGATGCTGCTCTTAGGTGCCACTGAGTCTGCTGTACCTTATGGTGAACCAGTGAACAAGAAGATCTGAACCTGCCCTGTCTTGTCCCATCCCCATCATCTCTGCTGGACTTGAGTCCAGTGCTACAATCACATTGTCTTTATTAGATATGTTAATTATTTTGTTTCAACAGAATGGGTAGAATGCTCATACTCCAAAAAAGATGTAAGTGGTTTGTGAAAAAACAAATGAGATTTTAAGATATGAAAAATGCTATAAATGAGGATAATGCACTAAGGATAATAAGAAAACACATGTGAAATTAGTATGAAGACTATACAGAGGGTGCCTGCGTGCTTGCTGGAAGCAGGCCAAAAATGTAGCTCACAGAATAGAGTAGAAATGTGCTGTTCCATCCAAACAATTTGCCTTCTCTTTGATAGCTTTTACCTATGTGACATGAATAAACCTGAAAGAAATGTAAATGATCTAATTTTTTTTACTACTTGTTTCTTGTGAAAATCTGGTTACTTTTAATTTTAAAAATTGTTGCTTCTATTAACATGTAGGAAAGGGAAAAAATCAAAACATATAGTGGGCTTACTGTTGTTTTTAAGTAATTAGGTAAGTTTAAACTTTTCCATTTTCATTTAGAATATGGTAATAATTACAGATATAATCCATATAAACAGAAGTTCTCTGGGACTTGGTATAAATTTTAGTTAAATGGTATTCTCAGGCAAAAAGGCATAAAAAGTACATTTTCTCTTTTTTATCCTTAAAAATATACATTTTGTTTTCCATTTATAAAATAAAAATACCTCTTTTTAGGTTACTACAAGCCTCAGGAAAAATCAGATTACTTGATGTTGGCAGCTGCTTTAACCCGTTCCTGAAGTTTGAAGAATTTCTAACTGTTGGCATCGACATCGTGCCCGCTGTAGAGGTAGGTGTTCACAGTTTTGCTTTATTTCAGTGGTGAATAATTTCCATGCATCTTTACAAAAAAGAAACACTACATTTCCATTTGTAAATTGGCAGTGTTACCTAGCTACAAGTTGGTTAAAAAAATTGTATGTGAAACTGATGGTGGTGGTGTTGATTGCCATCAAGTTAGCACGACTCATAGCAACCCTGTGAAGAAAATACCTGAAGCCTTTCTATAACTGTTGTAATTTCTCATGTTAATTAACCAATATTAATGGGACAAGTGTATATTTGTCCCTTTTTTTTTCCCTAGTTGGTGAAGTGGCAGTATAAAATCATAGCAATCAGGGAACTTTGATAATTTGCAAATGTTTCGAGAAAACTCTGGAAAATAGTTCAGCTATTTGAACTTTTCATTTGGTTTGGTCCCTTTTCCCTTGCATCTCTCTCTAAACTGTACTGACTGTTACAAGTTGATTATAGAATGGTAGAAAGGTCCAAAGATCTTTATTAAATTTTATTAAATCACAACTAGTTATACTTAAATAAATGAAACCACTTAACCACCTGTAGACTATTTTCCCTACCTTTAAAAATGTTATAAAGAGTAAGCCTCCTTGGGGGAGTTCTGGTGGCCTAGTGGCAAGAAGATGCAACTACAATCCCAGAGGTGCACGGTTCGAATCCACCAGATGCTCTGCCGGAGAAGGAGGGGCAATCTCCTCCTGTACCAGTCAGATCTGATTTGACGGTACACGCACACAAAAATAATAAAATAAAATTAAAAAAAAAAAAGTAAAATAAAAGAGTAAGCCTCCTACTAACACGTGGCCAGGCAGGTTATAGTCTTCATGTAGATACTGGTCTTTCCTTTGATCACAGTGAGTTCATTTGTGTGATGGTGCAGTTCCATCAAACCAGTATCACCTCCTTAACAGCTCAGGCTTATCCACAGGATACTAAGAGTGGAATTCTTTTTTGAAGAAAAGTACTTCAAAGCAGGCAGGTTACTTATTTCCATCATAAAAAGAAAAGATACTAATATAAATTAATATTTGCCATTTTACTCTTAAAATATAGCTATAGATACAGTATTTTAAAAGACTAACTGCTACAGACGATACTGCCTTGTGTGTTAGGAAATACAGAATGGAATTAATGGTATGTTAAACATCACCATGCAGATCCATTGTTCTTAGGGTCACTGTGAGTCATAGTCAACTCGATGGCACCTAACAACAATAGAAACTATCCAAAGGGAAAGAGAGAATTTTGAAAAGTCAAAGTGTATCAGCAAGCAGCGAGACAATCAAGAGGCCAAAATACAAGCATAATTAGTGTCCCCAGAAATGCAGATGGGGAGAATTTGAAACAATAATTCCAAAAAAAATTTCCAAATTTGGTAGAAATTATAAACTCTCAAATCTAAAATCTTCTACAAACCCTAGCACAAGAAAATAACACCAACTATTGTAATGAAATTCCTTAAAACCAGTAGTGAGAAAATTTTAAAGTAGCTAGAGATTTTATAAGACATACTGAAGTACTGAAGGGGAAAAATAACTTCCATTAACCTGGAATTCCAAACACAGTAAGGAAGGGGTTTTTTTGTTTGTTTGTTTGTTTGTTTTTTAAATTATTTGTGTGTGTGTGTGCCATCAAATCAGATCTGACTGGTAAAGAAGGAGATTGTTCCTCCTTCTTCAGCAAAGCATCTGGTGTATTTGAACTGCACACCTCTGGGATTGCAGTGCAGCTCCTTGCCACCAGGCCACCAGAGCTCGCCAGTAAGGAAAGTTTTTAACAATGAAAGCAAGATAAATTTTTGTCAGACGTAGAAATACTAAAATAATTCAATATGTTGCATTACAAGAAATGTTGAAGTAGTCCTTGCTTGAGTCAGGTGAAATATGGATCTCCAAGAAGTAAATAAAGATAACCAGAGCCATACTTTATATAGAAAATATAATGTTTTCTTAGTATTTATTTTTTAAAGATAAAGATAATTGATTATTTAAACAAAAATAATAATAAAGAATGGAATTTATGGTGTTAGGTGCCACTGAGTGAATTCCAGCTGATAACAGTTCTGAGTACAGCAGAGCAGTACACGGACCGATTTATCCCCGTCCTCATGCTGTGTTTGAGCCCTTTGTTGTGGACACTGTGTCAGCCCAGCCTCCTTGAGAGCCTCCCTCTGCTTCTCCAACCTTACTTTACAAAGCCGGATGATGTCTTTCTCCAGGGACTGTCCCTCCTGCTCATTTTCCTGAAGCAAGTGAAACAAAGCCTCGTCATCCTCACTTCTCAGGAAGATTCTGGCTATATTTCTTCCAAGACCAGACTCGTTTGTTTTTCTTTTGGTCCATTTAATATTATTCACCAAAATCATAATTTAATGGCATTGATTCTTCAGTCTTCCTTATTCATTGTCCAGTTTTAATCATGAGGTGATTAAAATACCGTAACTTAGGTCATTTACACCCTGGCACTTCATTTGACGTCTTCATTTTTTTTTTTTAATCTTTTTTTTTCTATAATTATATTTTATTAATTTTCATATTCTCTCTACCCTCCTCCCAGTTTGTTCTTGTCCAATTGCCACAGTGCTTGTCAAAGTCAGTTCTGATTAATCTTCTTTCTCAGTGTGTCCTTTGCCATTCCCTATCACTCCTCCCTGAGAGAGACTTCACCCTGAGTCATAAGGAAAAGGGGATGGCGTATTCTCTTAGCTACTTCCTGCTGAAAAGGTACGCTGTGGGTTTCAGGGTGAAGATCTTCTCTCACTACTCTAAAGGGCCCCTTTGGCAGTAGGAAACACATCGACTATTATGGAGATTGATTTTGGAATTTAGATGCACTCTTATTGATTGTGCTTGGCCGTACATGTTCATATCCTTGAAGATGTATCATGGGGGTGTTGCAACCTAGAAGACACAAATTTGACTAACAAGTTATAAGTACATGAGTCCAGAAATTATGGAAAAGTAAAAGAAAAGATTCTTTCATTGTTTTACTAACCCTCCCCCAGGTCCCCTCCACCATGTAGCCCTCGCTCTAGTCTCCTGTGATGACAGAAATAGACGTCTTCATTTTTAAACGCTGTATAGAGGTCCTTGTTTTTGTTGTGTTCTGTAGAGTCAGCACTGACCTATAGCTGACTCTCTGGTGGGTTTTCAGAGGAACACCTGGATGACATTGCCTGTTGGTGCAGTTGTGAGGACTTTTGTTTTTCTTCTATTGATGTATAATCCAGACTTAAAGCTATATAGTCTTTGATCTTCATCAATAAGTGCTCCAAGTCTTCCTCTCTTTCAGCAAACAAGGTCATATCATCTGCATATGGCAGGTTGTTAATAAGTCTTCCTCCAAGTCAAATGCTTGGTTCTACTTCATATGACCTAGCTTCTCAGATTATTTACTCAAATAAGTATAGTGAAAGGATGCAGCCAGAACTCAAATGTTTTCTGATTTTAAAGCATTGATTATCCCCTTATACTTTCAAGTAACAGCCTTTGGTTTATGTACGTGTTTCTCATGAGCACAATTAAGTGTTCTGGAATTCCTGTTCTTCATAGTGTTATCCATAATTTATTATCCTATATTATTTATCATATAGCCATATGATACACACAGTCGAATGCTCTTGCATAGTCAATGAGCTGCAAGTAAACATCCTTCTGGTATTCTCTACTTTCAGCTCAAGATCCTCTGCCATTAGCAATGCAGTGCCTCATTCCACATCCTTTTCTGAATCCAGCTTAAATTGCTGACAGTTGCCTGCGATTTTATTGCTTCATCTGCTTTTTAAATATCTTGAGCAAAATTTGTGTATTACACTAATGATATTGTTCAATACTTTCCACATTCTTTTGGATCTCCTTTCTTTGGAATGAACACAAATACAGATCTCTTCCAGTCCTTTGAGCAAGGATCTGTCTTCCAGACAACTTGTCATATACAGTTGAGTGCTTCTAGCATTGTGTCTGTGTGTTGCAGCATCTTAATTGGCATTCTGTGCATTTTTGGACTCTGTGTTTCATGAGTTTCTCACTATGGCTTGGACTTTATCACTCTTTACTGTTAATTTCTGATCATGTGGAATCCTGTGATGGTTTAACTTTTTCTTGGTACAGTGACTGCATATTCTTTCCATCTTCTTTGATGCTACCTGAATTGTTTAATACTGTTTGACCATAGAATCCTCTGATACTACAGCCTGAGTTTTGAATTTTTTCTTCAGTTGTTTTTCAGCTTGATAAATACCAAACTTGTTAGAAACTTTTGGTTTTCTAATTTCAGATCTTTGTACATTCCATTATCATACTTTGTATTCTCAAGCCACTCTTTCAAATCTTCTGTTCAGCAGTTTGATTTCATTTCTTTAATTAACTTTACTTAATTTTACATTCAAGAGCAAGTTTCAGTCTCTCTCTTCTGGCATCCATTTTAATCTACTTTTCCTTTCTTTTAAAAGACTTTTACTTCCCTCTTGTATGATGTCCTTGATGTTATCTGACAACTCTTCCAACCTTAGTGTTCAATATTTCAAATTATTCTTGAGGTAAGATTCAGGTGAGATAAACTCAAGGCTGTTGCACTTTGTCTTGGATTTGGTTTAATTTGCTTTCACTTGAACATATATTTGAGCAGTTTATGATCTGTTCTTCAGTCGTATGCTTCTTTTATTACCATTTTTTTTACTTTAATTAAATTTTTATTCATGATATTTCTTACTTTAAATCTTTTTCTACTAAACCTTTTTAAAGTGTAAATATTGAAATGAGTATAGCTATAACTGAGTCTAGACATGAATGGATCATCTTGTACTGCCAACCCAAAGGCCTGAGTTTCAAATCCACCAGGGAGTAAGATGTGTAATCTCCTCCTGTGCAATTTACTGCCTTTCAGAACCGGCTGGAGAGTCAGCCATGGGTCAGTTCTGACTCGGTAGTACTTACCAACAACTCAAATTAAATTTTAAGTAAATGATTGGTTTTTAAAAGTACCTGTGTTTGAAAATTATTTCTAATTTCAAATTTAACATTATGCGTAAGTATATCTTTCTAAATGATGACTTGCGCCTCTCTGATGTTAGTAGCTTTGGGTCCCAGGTAGTTGATTCTACTCTGTTAAAAGACAATGAGCTCACTGGAAATCAGAGTCAGCTCAGCAGCAGCCAGTTTGAGGGTTGTTGGTTTTTTTGTTTTTGTTTTTGTTTTTAATATTTGGGGTGGGTTTGTTTATTTTTTAATCTTAATTGCTCTTTGAGATCTTTGTAAGTGAATATTTTTCACTGAATGTGTCTGTGCACGCCTAACCATTTATAAGGAAAGGTGCATAATCCTATTTGGAAATGCTCTGAGATAATCTGGTGTAAAATATATGTGAAAAGGTCCAAGTATTTTTTAATTCTTACATGCTTTCTCTCTCTCTCTGCAGAGTGTATATAAATGTGACTTCCTGAACTTACAGCTTCAGCAGCCACTCCAACTTGCCCAGGACGCTATCGATGCCTTTTTAAAGCAGCTGAAAAACCCTATCGATTCTCTCCCTGGAGAGCTTTTCCATGTTGTCGTTTTCTCGCTCCTTCTTTCTTATTTCCCTTCACCTTACCAGCGATGGATATGCTGCAAGAAAGCCCATGAACTCTTAGTGCTCAATGGTTTGTTACTTATCATCACTCCTGATTCTTCCCATCAGAACCGCCATGCTATGATGATGAAAAGCTGGAAGATTGCTATCGAATCTCTGGGCTTCAAACGTTTCAAGTATTCAAAATTTTCACATATGCATCTGATGGCGTTTAGGAAAATCTCCCTAAAAACCACAAGTGACTTGGTTAGTAGGAACTACCCAGGAATGTTATATATTCCTCAAGATTTCAACAGCATAGAAGAAGAGGAGTATTCGAACCCTTCCTGCTATGTCCGATCAGATCTAGAGGATGAACAGCTAGCATACGGCTTCGCAGAACTCCCTGATGCTCCATATGACTCAGATTCTGGAGAAAGTCAAGCCGGCTCTATTCCTTTCTATGAGCTAGAAGATCCCATATTACTTTTAAGCTAAGACTCTCTAAACGCAGACTCCTTCAACTAAATGCTTACACTAATTGGAAATACTAATATGAGCTCAGTACTCCAAACCTGGTTTGCATAGATGTATCGCAAAAGTTTACAAAGTTTGCTATTTTTTTCTACTTTTCAATTTAAAAATGTATTCTTCTATAGAAAGCTTCACGTTTCAGGCAGTGACTGCTGCCATTGCAAAAACCACTGATAACTGTAGTATTTAGCACTAGGATGTCATGGAAAGGTACCTCTTTTCTCTTCAGTACTGTCATGGAAAATGAAGCATATTTGCTCTGGTTTTTGTTTGTGTTTTTTGTTTGTTTTTGTTTTGTTTTGTTTTGTTTTGTTTTCCCCCTTTCTTTACCTTTTCAATGTTGACATTAAACCATTGCAGTGGGAAACTTTAAGACACGTAGAAAGCTATAGGTTGCACTTTGATGACTCACAGGTTAAATTTGACGCAGAGATTGCTCTAGCTTCGTGATGCACTTGTCTTCGCCCCCTCCCCTAGCTAAATTTTTGACAGCAGCAGAAAGCCCTTTCTCTCCAGTTTGTTTGATGATCCAGTATTTCCTGACCACCAGGAATTAATAGGACTTCCAGTCATCCCACTTTGTTTTCTATTAAAAGCTTATCTGACAGCATCAGACGTTGGGAGAGAAGGTTCCCTCAAATTATGTATTTTACTTTTGTTAGCACAGTTTAAGAAACACCATTGCCAAAGTAGTATTTTGGATTTTGTTGTTAGGTAGATTTATCTGTGAAAATTCATAGCTATCATTTTTAAATTTAGCTTTCATTTACAAAATCTTCTATTTAAGCAAGGAACATTTATACACTCAATACTGACTTAAAACACCTTTGTGAAGGGTTTGCACTCGAAGGAGAGCTTATATTCTGACCAGACCAAAAGTGATGAGGTCCTCGCCTTTCCGTTAAGATGGTGCTGCACTACAAGGCTGTAATTTTATATCAAAATTTAAGATTAACCCTCTGCTGGTGATCTCATAAAATGGTTTTGACCTTCTGTAGTCTAATTTCCATCTAAATCTTAGCAGAAATTTTTCTTTGAATATATAAACCATTAGTTGGCATTGAGAAATGTCTCTCTGTGTTTCTGAATCAGAAGCAAATGATTAAAGAGGAAAAGTCCTACCAAGACAAGATTGATTTTAGACAGCTAAGAACATTTAGTCCACATTGTCTTGTCGCCAGCAATTGTCATGTAAACTGTCATTTTTAAGAGTGCCACTGTGTGGATTTTTTTTTCAAGTGGTTATTACATTAAAATTGCCTCATACTGAGGTTTTTGCACTGAAATATCACAGTTTCAGATTTTCATGGTTAAGTGTGTGTGTGTGTGTGTGTGTGTGTGTGTGTGTTTTTAAAGGAAACTTGCATTTTCAGTAGTTGATCCTAAATTTCATAAACTGCACTTATTTGCTCTGATAAAACAAGTCTTTGTGCTTATTGTGAATTGCTATAGTTAATTTTGAGTGTCCTGTTTTATTTAGAAATATAAAATGTATCCTTTAAGACATAACAGTTTGAACATTTGTATCTGATACTAGATTTCACATGCTGAATGAATGAAACAAGATTGTAATTAATCTGTAAAAGTCCATCTACTAAAGGCAATAAATATTTATTGCTCAGATATGGCAGAAGTAACTTGAAATGTGTCATTTACTTTCAGTAGCATGATTTCCTTAACAATCATGATTGATTTTCTTTCCATTAAGCACTACAGGGTCATGTCTTGTAACTCTCTCAAAAGAACAACAGTGCTGTGTTCAGACAACACAGAACTGTGTTTTGACAGTACCTTCTTACCATACTGTTTTATTTCTCTGACTTGGCTAAATGTAACATTAAGAGCAAAGAAAGCAATGTATCAAATGAAAGTGCTTTGAAAGTAAATGAATGCAGTCCTTTTAAGGAACTAGTGTAAGTGAAATTTTCGACCTTGGAGTTAGCCTTTGTGTTACAGCTAAAATGTTGGTGCTATAAATACTTCTGATTGTTTACAGATGTTGATCCTGCTTATGCTCCAAAGTGTGCATGATGTATTTTAAGTAGTACTTTAAAGAAAAATCTCTTTATAAAACCTACTACCACTTAGTATCAGTTTGTTTGGATTTATAAATATTGTTTGTTACTGTAAATTCAGCTTATTCAGATTAGGCTGGCACAGGATTTAAATCAGCACATGCTACACCAAAGCCAGTGTGTAAATGTTAACGTATAAGCTTGGTGCCAGATTAGATGTGTAACAACAAGAAAAGTGACTAGAACCTCCTAATTCTACATAGGTACTCTTAGAAATTATTTCATTTGGGTGTAAAGCAGTTAATGGGGTCTCCTGTCAAGTTCATAGCAAGATTCTCCAAAATAATTTGATGTTTCAGAAACAAATTGATGGTCATGTGGTTGTATTCTTTAAGATCATGATGAAGTCAAGTGGGTTATTCCACATTTGCCAAGTTGGGGGAGGTGGCATAATAGAAAATGTATGTTTGTGTTTGTATTTTTTCACATTTTGTGAACAAAGCACATTTATTAAAAATTTTAAATTTTCTAATATTCTTTGTTTATTACTTATCAGCTGAAAGTATTGTGGTTTTTGACATAAGTATTCCACCAACCAATTAAGAACCTGAATGAATTTTAGAATTTCCCAACTGAGTTTTTTGTGTAGTCAAATTATCTAATTTCATAAATACATTCACTGAGGCACAGAGAAGTCAGATGGCTTCTCCATTGTCATGTATTTTGTGGCAGAACAAGGTACACAGCATAAATTCTGATTTGCCATGTGTCATTATCATAGTTCCTGAGAAAGCTGATTTTGCCAGAGACCATTTAGTTAAGTATGTCACTTCTCTTAGGGCAGCAAATGGCTTTCTCCCGATGGGAAAGAGTCACTTAGTCTTTGAACAAACATCTGAACTCTGCCATGTACAATATGCTACGATGTTGATGTTAATGTTACATACTGTCAAGCCAGAACCAACCCATAGCTGACCCTCCAGGGGGGTTTCAGAGGCAGTTGATCACACACAAGAGGAGATTGCCCATCCTTCTCCTGCAGAGCAGCTGACGGATTTGAATCCTGTCCCTTTCGGTTGTCAGTACAGTTCTTTACCGCTTTGTTGTCGTGTGCCATCAAGTCGGAACCGACTCATAGCAGCCTTGCCACTGGGTTATTAGCACATGGGAGGAGATTGCCCATAATTCTGTTGTGTAGCTGATGAATATTACTCTGGAGATGAAAAGTGAGGAAAAATGGAGTTGCTTTCATAGTTAAAAAGTCATTGCTAAAAAAAAAAAAGTCATTGCTAGATCTGTCTTGAAGTACAATATTGTCAGTGACAGGATAATATCTATACGCATACAAGGAAGTCCAGTGAATACCACTATCATTCAAATATATG